TACAGTACTGGCACAAATAAGGTTTTTCTCCGGTGTGAGTATATTCATGGTCTTGCAATGCTCTTTTGTATAGAAATGCCTTATCACAACTGTTACATTTGTATGGTTTTTCAACCGTGTGAAATTTCTCATGCTTGTTAAGAGCTTCTGTTCCCCAACAAGATTTTCCACAATGAGAACATTTAAATTCATGTGATTTGTCATGTTCAATAAAATCTTCTTTCATGGTAAAAGACTGTCCACAATGTTTACATTTGAATCCTTCAACAAAATGAATAGTTTCATGTACATCCCGTTGATTTTTCCCACTGAAACTTTCATTACAGTATGAACATTTGTATGTATAATTCACAATCTTTTGTGGTATTTCGCCATTGTGATTCCTTTCATGTTTAATAAGAGCTCTTGTTCCCCAACAAGATTTACCACAATAAGAACATTTCAGTTCATGGATTTTTTCATGCTCCAATAGGTCATCCTTTTTTGTAAAAGATTTTTCACATTGTTTACATTTGAGTCTGTTGGTAGTGTGAATCATTTCATGCAAGACAATTGCACCTTTCGAGCTGGATGTCTTGTCACAATGTGAGCATTTGTATGTTTTTGTTTTGCTTTCATGATCTTCACCAGTGTGAACTCTTTCATGCTTGTTAAGTGCTTTAGTTCCCCAGCAAATTTTACCACAATAAGAGCACGTCAATGCATGAGTCCTTTCATGCTTTGCCAGATCCTTTTTACTTTTAAATGTCCTTTCACATTGCTGACATGTGAGTCTGCCACTAATGTGAACTATTTCATGACTAACAAGAGCCAGCTTCTTACTGAAAATTTTATCACACTCTGAGCACTTAAATATTTCAGGTTTCTTGTTCAGTTTTGCAGTGTGGGCTTTTTCATGCCTGCTCAAAGCTCTAGGTCCCCGACAAGATTTATTACAAAAAGAACATTTCATCTCATGTACTTTCTCATGTTCTCTTAGGTCTCCAGCTCTGGAAAAGGTCTCTTCACAAAGTTCACAATTAAAGATTGTTTCCCCATTGTGAGATCTTTCGTGTATAGCATGAGCACTTGCTTTATTGAATGTTGCATTACAATGGCAACATTTGTACATTTCTCTTACTGAATGTGTGGTTTCTATACTTCCATTATTTGAAGTGTCCTTTTCAAATGTTCCCTTTTCTTCAGTAGGATTATTTTCCTCTGTAAATCCAATATCGATGATTTCATGCTTAATGAGCATTTCACTGTCTTGTTCTTGGCTTCTGGGATCATGTGTTTGATTGTCCTCATCACTCATGTCATGATCATCAGTGTCCGATTCCTCACACATTTGACTGTTTTGCATTTCTAACTGTCCATCAATGTGTAGAGCTGTTATTTTTCGTTTCATTTGCTGAAAATCATTCTTTAAGTTAACAAAGGTTTTCATTAAATCCAAACATCTGCCACAACAAACATCAGATTCTGCAGGAGGAGAAAGTATTTTCAAAAGCTCATGGATTTCTCTCTCAATATCTGGACAAGTTGACAGCTTAACATACTCAGCCTTAGAAGTGTCCTTATGTGGGCCACAGACCAAACACCTGAGCCTTTGTTTTACATCTTTGCTCCTCAAATTATCAGTTATATTGGTATTATTGCACAGTGTATCAGTATCATGACTGAGTTCAGTTGGAAGAGGTATTTTTATATTGCCATGAATGTTGTTATCATCCACACTTTTATTGAGTGCCCTTTGTGGCATTTCCCCATCATTATATGTACTAGCATCATCAGACTCAGTGTCATCTTTGTTTAAAGTCGTTTCTTCTTTATTTGAGTCAACATTTTGACCAGGAACAGATATATATTCAGGACTTTTGTCTGACAAAGTCATTGATGGACTATGGATATCTATTTCACCAGGTGCCGTTTCTTCATGTTCATTCTTCTTGTGCTCAGACATTACTGCAGTTGAGACCAAGAACACCTAGAATATATTGACATTGCAAATTAAGTATTTTAATTTACAGAGCAAATATGAACATTTCTTCAAAATGTAGATAATCATAATGTTGATGGTGACAGAATTAGAGATATGCTGTATGTACTATGTATTTTTATTTTATTCATTTATTTTTAAATTTAATGATTCATCCTCAATTCACTTGTGCTAAGATCTGAAAGAAGAGCGAAAATATGAGGCTTTTTTCTATACACAATTACAATGAAAAAAAATGAGCCTGGTTTGTGTTATAATTATATTTTTACTTAGCATCACGGCAGTTTATCTATGGAAGTAAGTAAGTTGAAATATAGTGAAAACATAACACTGGAAATTTGATTTGCGTAAGATAAGGGTAGATTTTGCTCAGTTTGTAACTTTCAACATCCTTTGCCTAATCCACTGACTGAACAGATGATCGATAATCGGCCTGCATGGCGCATGTGCAGACGTTTTATTCCGATTCCCAGCGGGGAACTCGTATTCATAACGAAGAAGAAAGAAAAGCAACCAGAATGAGATAAAGATTTTCAGCATGGATGATGCAATGCACTTAACTGATCTCACTACACTGCATGCTACTATCTGGGACTTAAAATATTACTTACCCTGAAAAAATATTTTAAAACTTAACAACCACATTAAAGTCCGGGGGATCCAGAGAAAGCCTGTCAGTGTAGCTAGCACGTCCTGCTTCAGCGTGAGAAATGAAAACTACTGACACTCGATACTCTGAAATTTCCACTTATCGTGCCAATATGGAAAAAAATAATCTTTTAATCAATATTTTACGACTGTTCTCGTACAAAGATTTTCACATTGAAAACCTAACGATAAAATATATCCGATTCATTGGTAACTATTCACCACTTTGTAAAATCTAACAGTGTCTCGTCTTGGTCTATCCTTGCAATCGATAAGTAAACGCGTTTTTTCATTTCATATATGTTAATTTCGGATGGAAAATCAAAAGGTTGCAGGCTCGCTTTAGGAGAAAAAATCGCGTTAAAATAATTTGTTTCAAACTTACCATAACATCCCATCTAAACGTCATTTGTACATGTATAGATTCTAAGCCTAGAAACATATATTTTCGGCATTTCTTTTTTTTAATGCAAAAACCATGAAAAAGCAGGGATTGAAGGAAGTAAGGACCCACCGAAGACCCCCCTTCATTATTCACTATGGATTTAACAACATACAGCAGTGTGTATGTATGTATGGCGGATTTGAGGGGGTTTTCAGGGGGATCTTGAGCCCCCCCCCCCCCCCTTCGATTTCTGGAATTATTATGAAGTTTGAGATACTCGCTCTAGTGCATTCTGAGATTACATATTTATGTGAACTGTGAAAAAGCTTTTCGAAAAATTGTAATAAATAAAGACCAGCTAGTACCTACATAAGCATGATAATTAATTCCACGATAATTTCAGTTCATTCAGTGATGATTCGAGTTATTTATGCTTCACCTATTTATCTTCCGGTCATCAAGAAAATTATTATTTTCATTGCTGGTTCTTTCTTTTTTAAAGTTCATTTTTGCATATCGTTGTTGTAAGAAAATATCCCATATTTGACATTCAAAATCAATGCTGCCGTTAAAACAACTCCGACAATTACAAAAATTCAACATTTATTCCCTAAATGATGCATCTTTGTCCATTTTCAAATAATAAAAATATTAATAATGCTGCTGATATGGATCTCCGATTTTAAGTTACTACTGTATGTTCACGCATCAACCAAGTCCAATTGTCAATGTACGTTATGTTAATGCTACGGCCATATACATTCTAATACACCTAGAGTAATTGTGAGATCGATGATTTCGTGATGGAAATGTGACCCCACCCTCCAAAATATAGGTCCATTTAACACTTTTTTATTTTATTAAAGACAAGCGAGTGGAAGAATTGTCCAAGTGGAACTTAACTTACATCAGTCTAGCAATTTCAAAATAAAAATGATCAATACAAGATTGAACTGTTTTCTCTCTCTCTCACACACACACACACACACACACACACACACGCAAAATGTACGGAATTTTTAACCTCCGTTGCTGTTGCCCGCAGCACCGTCTCACTTTGTCCAATCGATCTAGATTATTTTTTTACAATAGCTGAAAATCTGTAACTTGTCAGGAAGCAAGTATGATATCTTGAATGTGTATTTTAAGTAACTGAATAAATAGCCTGAGGCTACTTTCATGGTGTCGCCAGGTTTTAAAAAACTAATATCGAAAAACCTTCCTTACGTCTTTTAGCCAAGTGCTTTTTTTTTTTTTTTACCCATTCGTAAAATCCTTAATTAAATTAATTTCATCCATTATTAGGCAAGGCACTATGGTGACAAGACACAGTCAAAGGTTTTACACGAAATACGGCAAAACCGCATCACATAGAAAGTAATGTGCAAAACCTTCGGTACCAGGCGTTGTGAAAAATTATACTTCAGGTTGAAGGAGGTGTCATTAAAATAAAAGTGCATCTCGTAATATCCCTTTAGCGTAGTCCAGCTTTTGTTGTTGATATTAATAACGTGCAAATAATATCCGAAAGGGTTATTTTTAAAACTTTCTTTACCAAAACCTTCGCTAATGAATACGAGAATTCCCCGTACTTTCAAGGCATGAATTTTAAAATTATCAATGACTTATACAAAAAGCCAAATTTATCACTTATTGTCACCAGCTGAGATTAAGAAAAAGCAGAATTTGCAAATATACAACTGTATCTTTAATTTCATTTTTTTTTTTTCACTTTTTTGTTTTGTTTCCTCAAATAGAATACTACATTATGATTAACAGACACGAGAAACTGCCAGTCCGACCACCTAAAAAAGCAGAGGATCGGCAAAATTCTTGATAATGCAGGTCCTCTGGACCGGCAAGGTCTATGTGGAAATACAATAAATAAACATCAATAATAATAAAATATCAAAAATAAATAAACATCGACTAACAGACCAGCACAGAATTAGGACCTGTAGCGCAAGACCTCCCGACCATCAAAACCACCCGACTCTGCATTAAATAAGAAATGACAACACAAGATACACATCAGATTAAGTTTTATTTAAAGGGTTTTGTCATCTTAAGGACTGGATTTGTAAATATAATCTTTACAGTACATTAATAAGACTGTTACAGTGGGAAGGGGCGGGGGGAAGGAGAGTCTTTTAAATAAATCTTCTGCACAAGATTCCCCAGGCATATTTTCACAGCACTACTTCTATCTAGTACATACATCACATCCCTGGCATGTACATATAAGGATTTGGGTTATCTCCATGATAAACACCCTCTGGAGTAGGGAACACATTACTGGAGTGTGGACCCCTAAATGAGGTTTCCATGTGCTGAGATCTAAATGTACTGTCAGTGTGCTGAGGTCTGAATGTACTCTCACTGTGCTGGGGTCTATGTGTGCTATCAAACTGTTGACTGATGAATGAACTGTCCAACTGCTGACTCAAAATCAAATCATCAGAGTTCTCATCATTGATGCCATCCTCTTTTTGCTGATTTTTCTCCCTTTTATCTAGACCCCTCACTTTTTTACAATTAAATCGATCTTTGAATACTTTTCTTCCAGTGTGACTTTTTTCGTGTTCATTGCAATTAGATTTTCTTATGAATGTTTTGTCACAGTATTTACATCTGAATGGCCTCTCTCCAGTGTGAGTTCTTTCATGTATAACACACGTGCTTTTGTCCCGAAATCTTTTGCCACAGAAAGAGCAAACTTGTGGTTTAATTGCAAGGTGAGTCTTTATATGATCTCTCCAGTTAGATCTTCTTATGAATCTTTTGTCACATAAATCACAACCAAATGGTTTCTCGCCAGTGTGAAAGCGTTCATGTTCTTCACATGCTAATCTGGTTGGAAACCCTCTATCACAGTACTGACATTTGTGTGGCCTCTCTCCAGTGTGTTGGGTCCTTTCATGTGATTTTAAAGTTGAACTCTGGGCAAAGCTTTTGGTACAGTACTGACATAAAAATGGTTTATCTCCAGAGTGTGTGATTTCATGCCTTTCCAAAGTTCTCCTATAGGCAAATGCTTTTTCACATATTTTGCAATTGTATGGTTTCTCCAAAGTGTGAATTTTCTCATGCTTTGCAAGATCTTTCATCCCCCAGCATGATTTACCACAGTGTGAACATTTGAATTCATGTAATTTTTCATGTTTCACTAGATCCTCTCTTTTGACGAATATCTTTTCACACTGAAGGCATTTGTATCCATCAGCAGTGTGAGTTTTTTCATGCAAAACAAGTTCACTTTTTGTGAAACTATCATCACAGTATGAGCACTTTATCTTTTTTGCAGTGGTGTATGGTTTATCACCAGTGTGAACCCTCTCATGCTTGTCAAGAGCCCGTGTTCCCCAAAAAGACTTTCCACACTGACAGCATTTCAGTTCATGGATTTTATCATGCTCCAGTAGCTCACTTTTCTTACTAAAAATTTCCTCACAGTGTTTACATTTCAATTTGTCAGCAGTGTGACTTATTTCATGCAAGAAAAATTCACTTTCCCTGCGAAATTTTTCATCACAATGAGAGCACTCGTACACTTTCGTTTCCATCTGGCGTTTTCCAACAGAGTGAATCCTTTCGTGCTTGATAAGAGCCCTCGTTCCCCTACAAGATTTACCACAGTAAGAACATTTCAATTCATGAATTTTTTCATGGTCCAATAACGCTTCCTTTCTTGTAAAGGATTTTTCACATTGTTTACATTTGAGTCTATCATCAGTGTGAATCATTTCATGTAATACAAGTGCACTCTTTTTAGTAAATGTTTTATCACAATATGAGCACTTAATTATTTCTGTACTGTTGTCCATTTTTTCCTCAGCATGAATTTTCTCATGCTTATAAAGGGCTCTTGTTCCCCAACAAGATTTACCACAATGAGAGCATTTCAGTTCATGGATTTTTTCATGCTCCAAAAGATCATCCTTTTTTGTAAAAGATTTTTCACAGTGTTTACATTTGAGTCGATCACCAGTGTGGATCATTTCATGCAAAACAAGTGCACTTTTCCTAGTCAGTATTTTATCACAGTGGGAGCACTTGTATACTTTTGGGCCCTGGTGCAGCTTAGCAATGTGCGTTTCCTCATGTCTGTTCAGAGCTCTGGGCCCCCAACAAGATTTTCCACAATATGAGCATTTCAGTTCATGAACTCTACCATGCTCCCTCAGATCAGTTGTCTTACTAAATGACATTTCACAGTGCTCACATTTAAAATTTGTTTCACCGGTGTGAGATCTTTCATGCAAAGCATGTGTATTTGCCCTGTTGAATGTTCTTTCACAATAAGAGCAGTGGTATACTTTTGGTTTCAAGTAAGGGGTTTTCTTATCATTGCTTTCATGCTTTTTAATGCTTTTCCCTACTTCATTCTGAACGTTTTCTTCACCAAAACCAATTTCAATTATTTCATGTTTGACTAACACCTCACTGTTTTGTTCTTGGCTGTTGGTATTGCAAGACTCATTTTCTGTATCACTCATTTCATTATTATCTTCATCTGATTCCTCATAGCCATGTTTGTCAGGTAGCTCTACATGTGCATCGATGTGAAGTGCAGTTATTTTCCACTTCATTTCCAGAAAATCTTTCTTAAGGGTCATAAAAGTTTTCATTAAACTCAGACATCTACTACAACAAGCATCTGATTCACGAGGAGGAGAGAGTATTTTTAACAGTTCACGAATTTCTTTTTCAACATCAGGACAAGAAGAAAGTTTTGTGTATTCAGTCTTTACAGTGCCTTTAGGTGGGCCACAAATAAGACACAAGGCTTTCCTTTGCAATGTCTTGTTAATCCAATCATCGGAAATCTTGCTGTTAATGCACAGTGTATCAGCGTCATGACTGAGTTCAGATGAACCTAATGCTTTCATATCACAATGAACGTTTTCTCCCTTCATACTATTATTCTCTGTCTCTAGTTGCATTTCTCCATCATTATCCGTAGCCTCATCAGATTCATTGCCTTCTTTATTCAAAGTCTCATCCTCTCTATCTGTTCCGCATACTTGGTCGTGACCAATAGCGTTTTCCTTAAAACCCTTACTTTCTATTAACGAAGACATGACAGAATTTAGCAGTATTGATTGCGGTATGGTCAGCCTTTTCTAGATCGAGATCTTCTTTAAAATGGAAATTTGCGGTACGAATGACGTCATCTCACCCTCATACTTGCTATGAGTGAACTTCCAAGGAAGTGGCCTTGAAAAAGCATTTCGTTCTGTTCTAAAGATTCAGAAAAACATTTAAGTGCTATAAAAGGGAAAGTGTTGTCTATCGATCGTATGAATTATAGTTATTTCATTTCTTTGACAAGCGCATAGATGTTTTCTTCGTTTATTTATAGCACAGACTACTATATAAAAAAAGAAAACTATCCAGATCATGGAAAACTATAACACTTTGTCACAAATAGGCAACATGCGCACATCTAAAAGTTAAGCCCGTCTTGGTTCTTCACAAATAGGCAACATGCGCACATCTAAAAGTTAAGCCCGTCTTGGTTCTTTTTAGCTAATACACCCACATCACTGCAGTGTATGACGTCATGGATGTTATTGCAAGCACATCACTTACGTACATGTATTGAGATACAACATTTCATTTAATTAGATTTTAAGATTTTTGTTGTATAAACTGGAAAGGGGGGTGACAATAACTATACCTGAATAACTTTTTTTCCATTTCAACTCCTCTCCATCATTTTAATTATATATGTAAAAAAAAAAAAAAAAAAAAAAAAGATCGTGTAAATTGGAAGGCGGATGTGGGCTATCTGGAGGTGGGAGAGTTAGTTAACATTTTTTTAAATATTTGGTTCCTTTTTTTCCTTTTTTTAAAATTATTTGAGATAGCTGTTAAAAATTGGTCATGACTCAAATGATTACCCACAAATCCTATTGTAAGATCTGTTTTAAAGTAAAACATGTAAACTCTTTTACTGAATTTCTTTAAAACCTTTTATTGAAGACGCTTTCTTTTAACCCTGCGTACCATAGTGATACCATTACAAAACTACCCTGCCCCTTACCCCCCATTTTTGTAGTCCCAAGTTCTACAGAATCTATAATATATATAACTGCAATAATGATGTAGCATCAACACTTTGTATATAAACTTAACTTGTTTATTTTAAGTCTACATGTACCTCCTACAAGAAGAAATAATTAGCAAATAAAACTCAATCATTATAAGAACTGTAAGTAACCATAACATCAGTTCTTACTCACACAGGGCTGTAAACTGTGGAGGGAGGGTGGAGCACCTCCAAGTTTTTTTGTTTTTTTTTTAAATTTTTTTATTATTTTTTTTTATCCTTAAGAAGTTAGTTTTTTCTTTTCTGTCAGCTCATCAGAAGTCTCTATCACTTCCTTCATTCAGCCTCTCCAGGAGCAATGTACTTTTAACTACATTGAAATAGGATCAGCTGGATTTGGAGGGCTATGCATTTCCTCTCTTTCTCCTCTTTTAAAGTGCACAGGACCAAAGTACTTTTTTTTAAGCCCAGATCTCAACTATATGACATAAAGATAAAACACATACTAAAACTTCTGACTAGTATTTTGTTAGATCTGCAGATCAATCACAAATAAAAAATAACAAAAAAAAAAATTTTTCAGCACCTACTTCTGACAGCTGGCTTCTGAACTTTCAAGTATTTTAAATTTAGCAATTACTAGTAATAGCCTTAAGTATGAAGCAAGCACTTTACTGTATGAATGTCCTTAACATGTCTCCAGAGCAGTGGGTTTCACTTCATAAATACATGTGCAGTGCAACATCACACCCCTGGCACATACACATTATGCCCAGAAGGATTAAGATTATCTCCATGATAAACAGGCTCTGGAGTAGGGAACACATTACTGGAGTGTGGACCCCTCAATGGAATTTCCTTGTGCTGAATTTTAAGTGCACTGTTAGTGTGCTGAGGTCTGAATGTACTCTCACTGTGTTGGGGTCTATATGTGCTATCAAACTGTTGACTGATGAATGAACTGTCCAACTGCTGACTCATTTTCAAACCATCAGAGTTCTCACTGTTAAAGCTGTCTTCAGCATGCCGACTTTTGTGAATTTTAGCTAAACTTTTAACATCATTCTCAGATGACCACTGTTTAACTGGTTTCTCTCCAGTGTGCCTCTTTTCATGTGTATTGCAATGAGATTTTCTATTGAATGCCTTATCACAGTACTTGCATTTAAATGGTCTCTCCCCAGTGTGAGTCCTTTCATGTCTACCCAACATGCCTCTGTCACGAAAACCTTTTCCACAGTATGAGCATATTTGTGGTTTTATTCCAAGGTGGGCTTTCACATGATTTCTCCAATTGGATTTCCTTACGAAGCTTTTGTCACAGTGATCACACTTAAAAGGCTTTTCACCAGTGTGGAAACGTTCATGTTCATCACAGGCTAATTTAACAGCAAAGCCCTGTCCACAGTACTGGCATTTGTGTGGTCTATCTCCAGTGTGTTGGGTCATTTCATGTGATCTCAAAGTTGAATATTTTGCAAAGCTTTTGGTACAGTACTGGCACAAATAAGGTTTTTCACCTGTGTGTGTATTTTTGTGGTCCTGCAATAAGCTTTTGTATAAAAATGACTTATCACAGCTGTTGCATTTGTATGGTTTTTCAACAGTGTGAAACCTCTCATGCTTGTCAAGGGCTTTCTTTCCCCAACAAGTTCTTCCACAATGAGAACATTTAAATTCATGTGATTTTTCATGCTTTGCTAGATCATCGCTTTTGGTAAATGTTTTTTCACACTGCAGGCATTTGAATCCATCAACAGTGTGACATTTTTCATGCAAAACAAATTCACTTTTTGTAAAAGTTTCATCACAGTATGAACACTTTATCTTTTTTACAGTGGTATATGGTTTATCACCAGTGTGAATCCTCTCATGCTTGTCAAGAGCCCATGTTCCCCAAAAAGACTTTCCACAATGACAACATTTCAGTTCATGGATTTTATCATGCTCCAGTAGCTCACTTTTCTTACTGAAAATTTCTTCACAGTGTTTACATTTGACTTTGTCAGCAGTGTGACTTATTTCATGCAAGAAAAATTCGATTTCCCTTCGAAATGATTCATTACAATGAGAGCACTGATATATTTTCGTTCCTGTGTGTTGTTGCAAAACAGTGGGTTTCCTCTCACGTTTCCTAAGAGTTCTTGCTCCCCCACAAGGTTTAACGGTGTGGATCATTTCATGCACAACAAATGCATTTTTCCTGGTCAGTACTTTATCACAATGTGAACACTTGTATGCTTTTGCGTCCTGCTGTGACCTTGCAATGTGAATTTCTAATTCATGTCTCTTCAGAGCTCTCGGTCCCCAACAAGATTTTCCACAATATGAGCATTTCAGCTCATGAACTCTACCATGCTCCCTCAGATCAGTTTTCCTGGTAAATGACATTTCACAGTATTCGCATTTAAAATTTATTTCACCATTGTGAGCTCTTTCATGTATAGCACATGTATTTGCCCTGTTGAATGTTCTTTCACAATATGAGCAGTTGTATACTTTTGGTTTCAAGTATGTGGTTTTCTTATCATTGCTTTCGTGCTTTTTAAGGCTTTCCCCAACTTCGTTCTGACCATTTTCTTCACCAAAACCTATGTCAATCATTTCATGTTTGATATGCACCTCACTGTTTTGTTCTTGGCTGTTGGTATTGCAAGACTCATTTTCAGTATCACTCATTTCATGATCCCCTTCTTCCGATTCCTTATAGTCGTGTTTGTTTGGTAGTTCTACATGTGCATCAATGTGAAGTGCAGTTATTTTCCACTTCATTTTCAGAAAATCTTTCTTAAGGGTCATAAAAGTTTTCATTAAACTCAGACATCTACTACAACAAGCATCTGATTCATGGGAAGGAGAAAGTATTTTTAACAGTTCACGGATTTCTTTTTCAACATCAGGACAAGAAGAAAGTTTTGTGTATTCAGTCTTTACAGTGCCTTTAGGTGGGCCACAAATAAGACACAAGGCTTTCCTTTGCAATGTCTTGTTAATCCAATCATCGGAAATCTTGCTGTTAATGCACAGTGTATCAGCGTCATGACTGAGTTCAGATGAACCTAATGCTTTCATATCGTAACAATCGTTTTCTTTCTTCATACTGTGATTCTTTATCTCTAGTTGCATTTCTCCATCATTATCTGTAGCATCATCAGATTCATTACCTTCTTTATTCAAAGCCTCATCCTCTCCACCTGTTCCGCATACTTGGCCGTGATCAACAGCGTTTTTCTCAATTTCTCTTGACGACATAACAGCACTCAGCAGTAGTGGCCGTTCTACTGGTAGATCTAGCCTTTTTTTATTTGCTCGAGATCTTCTTTAAGATGGAAATTTGCAGCATGAAATTGATTCTGACTTGACGTCATCTTACCCTCAACCTTGCTATGTGTGAACTTTCCAAGCAGTGGCCTTTAAAATGTAGTACAAACCCCCTAACTGGTCGTTCTGTTCTAACGATTTGAGATTCAGCAAAGCAATATTGTAAGTGCTATTAAAGGGAAAGTACTGTCTATCGATCGTATGAAATAGAGTTATTTTCATTTTTTTTACAAGTGCTTCGGTCTTTCCTTTGTTTTTTGTTTATTTATGCTGAAAAACACTACGTAAATTACCCAAATTATATAAAAATACAACATGATTTAATAAATCAGCAATATACACACATTCTGTAGTATAGCCTGTCTTGTTTTATTATTATTATTGTTTTTTTTTTTGTTTGTTTTTTTTAGCTAAGACACCCACATCACTGCACGGTGTAGATCTATGATTTCAGGGATGGCCCCTGAAATTTATTGCGAGTGATCACTTTCATAGCCTACATGAATGAGATGCAACATTTCATTTAATTATATTTTAAGCTTTTTGTTATATAAACTGAAAAGGGAGGGGGGGGGGTGACAATAACTATAGCTGAATGACTCTTTTTACAGTTCAACTCCTCTCCATAAGTTTTAATTATATAAAGAAGAAGCTCGTGTAAATTCAAAGGTGGGTCGATCTGGGCTATCTGAAGGTTGGGGGAGCTGGTAAACTTTTTTTTAACATTTGGTTATTCCTTTTTCCTTTCTTTTAATTACTTGAGATAGCTGTTAAGGATCTGTCATGAGTCAGACGATTACCCACGCATCCAATTGTAATGTCTATATTTTAATGTAAATTATGTAAACCCCGATACTAAACTTCCTTAAAGGGATAATAACTCTTCATTTTGGCCAAAAAATGAATTTTCCTGGAATAAACAACAATTTTCCCATACTAATAAATGGTTAATGAATCCATTTTTACATTCAAAATTACATAAAAAAATTTTTACATAAAAAGTTTGGTTTTTTGTTAAAATCTCTTAAGAGATTATAACAGAGTATAGCCATCAATGGAGGTCACGTGATCTGAAGACAAGCTCAGATATCAGAATAATAGCTATAACTGCTGTTTTTGTCGTAAAACAAAATATATATTTCTTTGACTTATTCACAATGTTTTTATTGTGAAATATAGATCTCATATGAAGAGTTATTATCCCTTTAAGGATATTGTAAGGGTTTATTATCATCCAGATACCGAAAATGAATTTTTTTCCTGCCCCTTGTTATTGCAGAGAGACTATTAAAAGATTAGGCGGTTTTTATTTCATGTACGTCCGCCATAGTTCGTGGATTGTACAGCCATGGCTCAACTCGTTGTGAATGCGGTCAATATTGCACTATATTCATATTGACGTGATGACAAAACTTTGCATATAAAACTTTACTTCTTTATTATAAGTCTAAATTTTGCAAAATAAATAAAATAATAAGCAAATAAAACTCAATTCTTATAAGAACTTTGAGAAACCATAACATCAGTTCTAAAAATCATACAGGACCGTTAACTGAGGCAGGGTGGGTGGAGCACTCCTGAGCTTTTTGATCTTTTCCCGCTCTTTTCCCCCTTTAAGGTGCCCAGGGCCAAAAGTACGATGAAATATAAAAGAAAAAGCCCAGACCTCTACTATAGACAAAAGATAAAACATGAAAAGAACTAAAAGAACTTAAAAGTATTTTGCTCTAAGTTATATCTAAATTAATCAGATTTTAATTTAAGAAATTGCAATATGTTTAAGTCTAATTTTGACAACTTCTGAACTTCAGTTATTTTTAATTTACTAATTAACAGCCTTGAGTATGAAGCAAATTACTTTAAATGGCTTTAACACATTTCTTCAATGCTTCATTGTAGAAATGAACACATTTTGTCAGAGCAGTTGGTTTCACTTTTGTAAATACATGTGCAGTGCAACATCACACCCCTGGCATATACACATTATGCCCATATGGATTTAGATTTTCTCCATAATAAACAGGCTCTGGAGTAGGGAACACATTACTGGAGTGTGGACCCCTAAATGAGGTTTCCATGTGCTGAGATCTTAATGTACTGTCAGGGTGCTGAGGATTGAATGTGCTCTCGCTGTGCTGGGGTTTATATGTGCTATCAAACTGTTGACTGATGAATGAACTCTCCGACGGCTGACTCATTTCCAAACCTTCAGAGTTTTCACGCTTGAAGCTGTCCTCAGCATGCTGGCTTTTGTGAATTTCAGCTAGACTTGTCACTTTATTTTCAGCTGTCTCCTGTCTAACCAGTTTCTTTCCAGCGTGCGTCTTTTCATGCGTACTGCAATGAAATTTTCTTTTGAAAGCCTTATCACAGTATTTGCATTTAAATGGTCTCTCCCCAGTGTGAGTCCTTTCATGTCTAGCAAGCAAGCCCCTGTCACGGAAACCTTTTCCACAGTATGAGCATATTTGTGTTTTATTTCCAAGGTGGGTTTTCACATGATCTCTCCAATTGGATTTCCTTACAAATCTCTTGTCACAGTGATCACACTTGAAAGGCTTTTCCCCCGTGTGAAAACGTTCATGTTCTTCACAGGCTAATTTTAGAGCAAAACCCTGTCCACAGAACTGACATTTATGTGGTCTATCTCCAGTGTGTTGGGTCAATTCATGTGATTTCAAAGTCGAGCTTTGGGCAAAGCTTTTGGTACAATACTGGCACAAATAAGGTTTTACCCCAGTGTGAGTATTTTCGTGGTCCTGCCATATGCTTTTATATAGAAATGCCTTATCACAGGTGTTGCATTTGTAGGGTTTTTCAACAATGTGAAACTTCTCATGCTTGTCAAGGGCTTTCTTTCCCCAACAAGTTCTTCCACAATGAGAACATTTAAATTCATGTGACTTTTCATGCTTTGTTAGATCACCTTTTTCACTAAATGTCATTTCACACTCGAGGCATTTGAATCCATCAGTGGTGTGAGATTTTTCATGTAAAATGAGTTCACTTTCCGTAAAAGTTTCATCACAGTATGAGCACTTTATCTTTTTTGCAGCGGTATATGGTTTATCACCAGTGTGAATCCTCTCATGCTTGTCAAGAGCCTGTGTTCCCCAACAAGACTTTTCACACAGAGAACATTTCAATTCATGGATTTTATCATGCTCCAGTAGCTCACTTTTCTTACAGAAAATTTCTTCACAGTATTTACATTTGACTTTGTCAGCAGTGTGACTTATTTCATGCAAGTAAAATTCACTTTCCCTTCGAAATGTTTCATTACATTGAGAGCACTGATATATTTCCATTTCCAAGTGGTATTGTGCAACAGTGTGATTCCTCTCATGTTTCCCAAGTGCTTTTGTTCCCCTATAAGATTTACCACAATAAGAACATTTTAATTTATGAGTTTTATCGTGCTCCAATAAGTCTTTCTTCCTTGTAAAGGATTTTTCACAGTGTTTACATTTGAACCTATCACCAGTGTGGATCATTTCATGCACAGTAAGTGCACTTTGATTTGTCAGTATTTTATCACAGTAGGAGCACTTGTATATTTTTGGTCTCTGTTGCAACTTTGCACCAGTGTGGGATCTTTCATGCAATGCATGTATACTTTCCCTGTTGAATGTTCTTTCACAGTAAGAGCAATGGTATACTTTTGGTTTCAAACATAGGGGGGTTTTCTTAGCATTTCTTTCNAGACACTTCGACTCCTCTCCAAGAGTTTTTATTTAGGATCATATCGCATTAAATTAGGCGTACCGGGATACATATTTGACGGATTAGATGTATCGCGCTTTCAAACATGGTAAATGTTAAATACCGAGGTCCTTCCCTCCCTTGGCTGACGTCTCTCTTATTTCAAATAATGACATTTAGCAGGAGGGGGGGAGGGGTACGCGGATGCGAGGCCGACCCCCCTCCCCCCTGGCGTATTTCTTTGGGTTCGGGGCCCCCAAAATTTTGGTATTATAGAGGGCGAATGGTGCCATAAGGTGCGGTTTAGAACTATGATTCAACTTTTCAAAAGTCTAATTTCTAATTTCAAGAGGGGAATATTACTTTGATTTTTTCAGAAATCGAAAAAGGGGGGGGAGGACCACCCTGACCACACCTCTAAATCTGCCACTGTATAGCATCGTACTGCGCGGATAAAATTCGACGGTTTGGGGGGTGGGGGTCAAACCTTTACTGACTTATGATTACACTGTTGTTGTTATCATTATTATTTTGTTTATTTATCTATTTCCACGTATCTATTTCCACGATAAGATGAAAGATAACCCACGCATCCGGTTGTCGGCTGGATTGTAAGATGTACGCTTTTACGCATATAAACCGCATAATTTAACTTCTAAAAAAACGTTGAGACGTTTCCTGTTAACGCTGTGTACCTAAGGCCACACTTTTTTTATGTTTATGGATGACATCCTCTGGGGACCCCGAAATCGGTGCGAGAGGGCGGAAAAAAACAGTCCCCCCAAAAAAAAATACTGCTTAAGTAAAGGAATGCTGTCAGTACAATGCTGGAAACACAAATTTACCACAGAAACACGCACCAAACTAACAATATGTCTTTATCCATGCTCTCAAAATATTAAAGCATTGTGAATACTTCGTAAAGGGTAAAAAAGTCATGAATAGATATGCTGCATATTACCAAATCTATTTAAGGTTGCTTCACGCATTTTGTTGGTATAGCAATCAATAAAACAAATATCAAACAAACAGTGTCTTTATTCGTACTCTCAGAATATAAAAAGCGTTATGAACACTTCACAGGAATGTTTTAAAAAAACGATGCAAAGATATGCTTAAAAGGCTTACTACTAGCACGAAAATTCATGCGTTAGCAGGGCCGTAGCCTGAGCAAAATGCCAGGGGGGCAGTAAGCGGACACGAGGGAGCGACCCGAGGGGGGAGGGTGTCGGAGGGGGTGTCCCCCTCCCACGGTGTGGAAAAATTTTAAAAACTGTATGTATAATACTGCATTCTGATGCATTTTAACTGTTATTTATTGCTCAATCAGAAGTCAGAAATTGTGGGTTCATTTTGCCTGGGGGATAGCTCCCTTGGCATGAACTGAGTTGACTAATAACAGCACACCGTTGTAAACAGATTGTTGAATGATTGTCTAGTGGCCATGAGTGCATTTTCTCACAGAATTGATACCAACTTTGCAACTTTTTTTACCTTTGCGATTATTTTTTTTACACCTCAAATCCCGGGGGGGGGGGGCAGCAATTAATGACCCCCCCCCCCGGAGGCTACGGCCCTGGTTAGCATACCTATTGACGATTCTGATATGTACTGTCTGTGCTAGGAGTGTTAGCGCATGAACTTTCGTGCTAGCCTACGACCATTTGAAGCTATTAAAGGTCATTTCGGTCGATGCCATTTTTTATACTTCGCCTCACACTGTCGGGTGGCCTGTCCGACCTTCAGCCCACCTCGACGCCATGGTCGACCCTTTTTTCGCCACAAAAAACCTGGTATGTGCTGCTTTGGACAAAATGTCACTGTAATGTTCCGGGCGATAATCGCTGGCCGCCACCAGCCTTTCGTATAATTGTAAATAGGTTATATCTCCAGGCCCAATATCAATGGCTACCAATCGAAAACGACGGCCCCCGTTCTCTTTATGGGCCCCTAATTACGGATTTCCATTAAAAAAAGGCATTATTGCTTAATAAACATTAAAATGGACCAAAGCCTTTAAGAACATTATCTGGTAGGATTTTTGGATACTAAATGATCTCATCAAATTGGCGTTATGGGTGTTCGAGGTCCTCAGGTAAAGGTAAATGTGTAAAACGGATTTTTTTCCATTTTACCCCATAATCGCAATTATGTTGTCACTCATAAGATTACGTGTGTAAATGTTAATTAATTTAGTCACTGAACATTTATCTGCTATCCAAAATGAATGTATGCAAGGCAGTAAATAAAGCGCTTTTGAAAAACGTTTACAGTATCCTTAAAACCTTTTATACTTTTTTTAATGCTGTACTACAAAGTGACACCGTTCCGAAACTACCCTCCCCCCTCCCCCCATTTTTTGAAGTCATATGTTCTACAGAATGTAATACATTATATTGCGCTATACTGACATGATGACAAAACTTTGCATATAAACTTTACTTCTTTATTTATATAAGTCTAAATTTTGCAAAATAAATAAAATAAACAGCAAATAAAACTCAATTATTATAAGAACTTTGAGAAACCATAACATCAGTTCTATCAATCATACAGGACTGTTAACTGTGGGCAGGGTGGGCGGAGCACCCCTGAGCTTTTTGCGCATATATATATTGTGATCTTTAACATGTAGTTAGCCTTTCCTATTCCACCAGTTCATCAGAAGTCTCTCTCATTTCCTTCAGTCAGCCTCTTCAGAAGCAATGTTCTTAACAGGATCGGCTGGATTCTGGGGGCTTCGGCATTCCGCTCTTTTCCCACTTTAAGGTGCCCAGGGCCAAAAGTACTGTTAAAAATAAAAGACAAAGCCCAGACCTCTACTATATGACAAAAGATAAAACATGAAAAGAACTAAAACAACTAAAAAGTATTTTGCTCTAAGTTATCTTTGAAAATTAATCAGATATTTATTTAAGAAATTACAATATCTTTAAGTCTATTTTTGACAACTTCTGAATTTCAGTTATTTTAAATTTACTAATTAATAGCCTTGAGTATGAAGCAAATGCTTCATGACTTTAATTGGCCTTGACATATTTCTTCAAAGCTTCATTGTAGAAATAAACACATTTTGTCAGAGCAGTTGGTATCACTTTTGTAAATACATGTGCAGTGCAACATCACATCCCAGGCATATACACGTTATGTCCATATGGATTTAGATTTTCTTCATGATGAACAGCCTCTGGAGCAGGGAACACATTACTGGGGTGTGGACCCCTAAATGAGGTTTCCATGTGCTGAGATCTTAATGTACTGTCACTGTGCTGAGGTCTGAATGTACTCTCACTTTGCTGGGGTCTATATGTGCTATCAAACTGTTGACTGATAAATGAACTGTCCAACTGCTGACTCATTACCAAACCATCAGAGTTCTCACTGTTAAAGCTGTCCTCAGCATGCTGGCTTTTGTGAATTTTACCTTGACTTTTCACTTTATTTTCAGCTGTCTGCTGTTTAACCGCTTTCTGTCCGTGGTGCGTCTTTTCATGCGTACTGCAATGAAATTTTCTTTTAAAAGCCTTATCACAGTATTTGCATTTAAATGGTCTCTCCCCAGTGTGAGTCCTTTCATGTTTAGCAAGGGTGCCTCTGTCACGGAAACCTTTTCCACAGTATGAACATATTTGTGGTTTAATTCCAAGGTGGGTTTTCATATGACCTCTCCAATTGGCTTTCCTTACGAATCGCTTGTCACAGTGATCACACTTGAAAGGCTTTTCCCCCGTGTGAAAGCGTTCATGTTCCTCACAGGCTAATTTTAGGGCAAAGCCCTGTCCACAGTATTGACATTTGTGTGGCCTCTCTCCAGAGTGTTGGGTGAATTCGTGAGATTTCAAAGTCGAGGTTTGGGCAAAGCTTTTGGTACAATACTGGCACAAATAAGGTTTTTCCNACTTCCCTAAAAATGGCCCGATCATGCTGATTTTTGAACTTGACCTGCGTATTACGACGTATTACGACGACGACAGACGCAGGTGATGGCTATATGTACAGACACATCTGTGTCTGTACATAAAAAAGGACCTGCTGGGACCTTAAGGTTATGACGTTCCACCCTTTCTTCCATTTCTAACATGCATTTTATTAAAGTACTATTAACTTAGGAAAGGCTCGAACTTAGTCTATGTACCATAATGTAATATAAAACATGAACTCAATTTTTCTTTCAAATATTTTACTTTTTTCTGTGCAAATCAATCACATTTTAATGTAAGGAATTAAAATTTCTTACACCACAATCAGATTCACACATACTGATCAGTCCAACTCTGCAAGGGATTCTTGCTGAAGTGCAATCAATGTAATCAGCTTTATTGTCTGACAAGTATTGAGTACCAGGGCGGGGGGAATGAACTATCTTGTGTTGTATAGCGAATTCCACTGATTGCACTTTTTGCAGAGTTCCCGACAGAGTCGGACAAGCCCAGTTAGTATAATGACTAGATCCTTAGCAACTGCTTTGGGCAGCTGGCTTCTCAACTTATTTTTAATTAAATAATGAATGTTGTATGTTTGAAGCAGATGCATTTGTTTTCAGAGCAGTAGGCTTCAGAGCATGGTAAATAATTTGTTACATGCAACATTCACATCCCTGGCATATACATGCCATACATGTAAGGATTAGGGTTATCTCCGTGATAAACAGCCTCTGGAGTAGGGAACACATTACTGGAGTGTGGACCCCTAAATGAAGTTTCCATGTGCTGAGATCTAAATGCACTGTCAGTGTGCTGAGGTCCGAATGTATTCTCACTTTGCTGGGGTCTATTTGTGCTATCAAACTGTTGACTGATGAATGAACTGTCCAACTGCTGACTCATTTCCAAACCATCAGAGTTTTCACTGTCAAAGCCGTCCTCAGCACGCTGGCTTTTGTGAATTTTAGCTAGACTTTTCACTTTATTTTCAGCTGTCTGCTGTTCAACCGCTTTCTGTCCAATGTGCGTCTTTTCATGTGCTCTGCGATGAGTTTGAGTTTTGAAAGCCTTATCAC